AAACCCTTTGCCACTAAACGGGCTTTATACCTCTCCACGGTTCCATCAGCCCCATGCTTAAYAGTGAACACCCATTTACATCCAACTGGATCCTTTCCCTTAGGGAGATCAACAAGTTCCCATGTGCCATTCTTACGAAGATCATCAATCTCTTCCTTCATGGCCTTCATCCATTTTGGTACTGAGAGAGCTTTTGCCATATTCTTGGGAATAGGGATACTGTCAATGGAGGTAAGAAAATCACGAAATGAAGGTAAGATGTTCTCATAGGAAACAAAGTTGGAAATGGGGTGTTTGGTGGTGCACGACCTAACCCCTTTCCTGTGGGCAATGGGAAGGTCAAGATCATTAGCAACAGGGAGGTTAGGAGTCAAGTTACCTGAGTGAGTATGATCTTCCCCTAAGGAATTTGATGGCATTTGAGGTACGGTTTCTGAATTCTCCTCAGCTCTTGAACCTGATTGGCCTTTACTACGACGAGAAAAAACACGAAAAGGTGGATGATTAGAGGGAGAAAGGGGAGAAGGAGGAGTAGGGAGAGGAGGAAGTTGAACCAGTTTCTCCTCATACCTCCACTCCCCTTGAGGAGAAACAGGAAAGAAGGGCTCATCCTCAAAGAAGGTAACATCCATGGAGACATAGAATTTCCGTGAAAYAKGATCAAAGCAACGATACCCTTTCTGAGAGAATGAGTAGCCAAGAAATATGCACGGGATAGCACGAGAGTCCAATTTTCCCCGGGTGGGGGATAGGTTTTGGACAAARCACYRACAACCAAAAACACGAGGAGGAATAGAAAGAAGAGGGGCCTTAGTAAAGAGAAGCTGATGTGGAGCTTTGTACTCTAACCAACGAGAGGGCATTCGGTTAATGAGATATGTAGAACAAAGGACGGCCTCAAACCAAAAACGTTTGGGAACATTCATGTGGAGTAGTAAACCCCATGCCACTTCAAGAAGGTGACGGTTCTTCCGTTCAGCCACACCATTTTGTTGTGGCRTGCGGGCACAAGAGSTCCGRTGAAGTGAGCCATGTGAAGCAAAGAACTCCGTGAGGTCACTATGAAAAAATTCTTTTGCATTGTCTGATTGAAATATTTGAATTTCGGTCTGAAATTGGGTGAAGACCATCCGCTGAAAATCTTGGATAATTTTTGGTACTTCCTCAYGGGTTCGCATTGGATATACCCAAGTGTGTCTGGAATAATTGTCAATTAAGGTAATAAAGTACTTGTAGCCACTCTCAGAAGGTAAAGTAACAGGGCCCCACACATCAGAATGTACAATGTGAAAAGGAAACTCAGATTTACTATTTCTT